AGGGGCCCAAGGCCACACGGACCTGTTCTCTCTGCCCGCTTCTGTGAGCTCCCACCTTTCGCCCCCGAGAGCATCTGCTCCGCAGCACGGCTTGGGGAAGAAAAGCGAGTTTGCAACAGTCTTCCTGTCCTCTCACCCTAAAATTTAGAGTCGGCTTATTAAAGGCTGCCTGGGTTCTCCTAACGAGCACTACATACTTGTAGTAGCCACCAGAAGCTGTAATTTGCTGGCAGGTAGAGCTGAGCCTTTCTTTGGCTAAGAATGAAATAAAAGCCTGGGGGCTGGGTCTCCCCTCCTCGCCCCAGCCGTGTCCCTGAAGCAGGGAGTGCTCCTGCACCGGCAGCAGCTCCGGCGGCACCGGGGGGGGTTTTTTTTGCCCACATGAGGAGTTCACCCACGGACAGCCTTCCCAGTGCCTGAAGAATAGGGTCCAGTCCATGTAGCACAGCCATATTTAACCTAAAGATTTTCATTTTATTATAGCATTTGTTAGATTTTGTCTATTGTCTCCTCACCTTTAAACACTAACAGATCCCAGACTGCGTGGCACCTTAATTTAAGTCATACACAGAGCAGAAGCTAATAACTTTCAGCTCACTACGTGCAGAAAGAAGCCTTTGGTCTTGCAGGGTTGCTCCATCGCTGATGAGAAGGACGGGCCAGGACAGGTTCTCACTGACTTGCCTGTACCGGGATGGGGTTGGTAAAGCTGGAGGGTCAAACCCTGGTGCCAACGGCTGGGGAATATTTGGGTTGCTTTGGTTCCTGTCTCCTGTGATGTACCAAACCAGATGGGTTTGGCTTTGAAGCAAAGGCATTGTTAATCTCACCCAGGCTGAAGTCAGACGTGGAGTTTCTTAATTTCATTACTAAATAAACATTGCAGCGGTGCCAGGGCCTCTGCCAGCCCTCATGTCCCTGATGGTCCCAGCACGGTCCAGCTGGTTCGCCGTGCAGTGCAGCTTCCCACCAAACTGGGGAGAGCTGAGGACTCCCACGATTTACTCACATCGCTGAAAGGGGAGCGCAGAAAAGCAATAGCTTGCTCCAGGGCACGACCTGACACCTTGCTCTGGACGCCTGCTCAGTGCCAGCCCCAGCTGAGCCAAGACGAAGGGCACCGGGCCAGGGGCCGACAGCCCCACACACACGGCCCCGGCCCCAGAGCTGCTGGAGGGAGACTGGCACCCCAGAGCGCAGCAAACCTGACGAGGGAGTTAGCAGACGGGGCGGATAGGCACAGAGCCCAGGTTTGTAAAGGAGAAGCGATATCTTGTTGTCTGTCTATTTTTTAACCTGAATTTCTCTTTTTGTCTCCCATACTAGATAGCGGGGGCAGCTGGGATTGCAGCTATTTTGCAAGTCCCGCTATTTCACCGGGAGTATTTCATATATACCAGGATCTGCCTTTGTACTGTAACCCAGCACAAGAAAATGCCTCATCTTTCATTGCATCGCTCTAATTCTAAATTAATGGCACTGCCCAGCAGGATGCACACAGCAGCAATGGCACGTTCTTGAATGTCAATGTTAAGACCTATTTATTTTCTTTTTTTTTTTTTTTTTAATTTATTTTTAAAGCAAGACTGGCACTGTACCTTACAGCGGGCTGGCATACCCCAGCCAGGGTCACCGACAGGGGAGACCGGTGGTTACAACTCTCACGCCAACCTTGTTCTCCCCGTGTAGCACCTCCTCCGTCACCACCTCCTGTTTTCTCCAGCCTAGGGGAGAGGAGCAGTGGATGCCTACAGCAACGGTGGGAGGGGGAAAGCAAAGCAAAAGCGAGGTTCAGATGGATGTTTGTGTCCCCTCCCTGCGGAAACCCAAGCGTTCCCCGCTAGCAGGAGCAGCCTCCTCCCAGTCTTCATGGCAGAGGGAAGATGAAGAAGTCGGTTTCTCCTGGCCAGCCCCAGAAACGGGAGCTCTCAGGGGACACACGCACATACGCTGCGCTGATGCGGTTCTAAGCCTGCTGGAAATGTTTTGCATTCAAACATGCGGCATTTGATGTTGACCAAAGCCCCCGGGACACCAACCCTGCGGCTGGCCCAGCAGGCCAAGTACCAGCAGAAGGTCCTGCTTGCAGAGCCGACTCACCACGGTCTGCGGGGCAGGCGGAGCGGGATTAAAACGCAGCTCCTTAGGAATTAGGGGGAGGGAGGGAAAGGACTGCCACCTCAAATTAAATATTGCAGGAAATGACAACTAGAACCTTTTACAGCAAAACTTTCGGTACTGAGCAGGTTTTTATTTCTTTCCTGCCTGTGAGTTGTGGATGCAATGGTCTGGACACACCCAGAGCACAAGCGTCGGGTGTCTGTGCTGGATGCTTCCTTCCTTACCCCCTGTCCCCTTGTGCCCCCCCCCCTTCCTGCAGAGGTTCAGTTGTAATTAACCTAAAAGCAAGCTAACAACTCTAACGCTCCCACTCCGCTCTTGTTTTGCAGATTATATGAAAGAATCTGTGTGCAGCTCCAGCACTTGTTCTCTGAACAGCAGCGAAAACCCATACGCCACCATTAAAGACCCCCCCATTTTAACATGCAAACACTCCGAGAGCAGCTACGTGGAAATGAAATCGCCTGGTCACAGGGAGTCCCCATATTCCGAAATGCCAACATCATCGATGGCCAATAAAAACATCTACGAAGTTGGTAAGCGGGGCGGGCGGCAGAAGGTCTACTCCAACCCTTGGTGTTTTTATTGTAGATGCTGATTTATTTTTTTTTCCTTTCCCGGTGCAAGTAGCGTGGACTTGGCACGGGGCAGGGAGGCGCTGGCCAAGGGAGAAGGCCTGGGCATTAGCGTGTTGATTTGGGGAGCGAAGTCCCGGGCAGTGGCCTGTGCTTAAGGTGGTGGATGTGAGCGTGGTACAGCACCGAATTGCTCCTCCAGCCCCGGCGGCGGAGGGCTGTGGTCCCCTCCTTATGCTCTTGTTTTAAACTCCTGCAAAGTCCAGCTGCGAGATTTTGAAAGGGCGGAAGTGTTGGTCTTTTGAAGGCATTATCTGCAGGGCTTTGGGAACTACCTGCCCTGGGATCTGGTGGGTGGTTTTCTCCCTGGTCTGGCCCATGCGCTGCCTGATGTGCTGCCAGTAAAGCTGCGAGGGAAGGAGATGGTTTGGGAAGCTGATGTTCTGTGCTTGTGACAAAATACAGTAGAGTAACCAGTTTGGGGAGGGTCGCTAGTTACCGTAACCCACTTTTCCTTGCTTCCCCAGAGCCCACCGTCAGCGTGGTCCAAGACGCCCGCGGTCGGAGTGCCAGTTACCTCCAAAATCCATACGACCTGCCTAGGAACAGTCACATTCCTAGTCACTACGACCTCCTCCCCGTAAGGCACAGCCCGACGCACGGGCCATCTTGGGACAAGCAGTCGTAAAGGGATGAACTTCACTGGTGCACTGTGCTGCAAACACAAACTTTGAGGAAGCAAAAGAGAAGACAATCCTTTTCTGCGCTGCAGGATGCTGACGGGACTTCAGACTGTCTTACGCAAGGACCTAACGTAACACGACATCAGCTTGGGCCAACTGCTGCTGCATGATGTTATTTATAAAGACATTTTTATATGGGTAACAGGAACTAACGAGAACCTTCTCCACGCGTGACTGGAGTACGTCACCCCAGAAAGGTGTCTACGTGCTCTAGGCAAAAACTCTCCGTGGCGTGTATTCTAACCCTGGCTTTGCTGTAAAATAAAACACAAAAACATGCTAAGTAGAAGGACTTATAGATGCACATTTCTACCAACTTCATCAAGAAACCTTTTACTGTTAGGAACAAGGTGACTAGGAATATGCTGGAATATATTTTACATCTTTGTCATGGAAATGGACATTTTTCTGAACGAAAGCAGGGAAACTTGTCATTTTACTGTCGGAAACCTCATTTACCGCCATCACCCTGTGCAATCTGTGCAGATCATGCTTGATAATTAGCACCCAGATTTTCATCTTCATGTTCAGCACCAGGGTATTTGAGCTGAGGAGTATGAGCACAGACACATGCTGTGAAGTTTTTCAAATGTAACATCTTGGCAAATGTCCACTGATCTTTGCAAACGACTTGAGTTTTAACAATGAGTCTCACACCCAGCTTACCACATTTTTAACGAGCTATAAGGTACTTTGATTGGCACAGACAGGCTTTAATTTTCCTTATACAGCTTCTGTTTCATTAGACAAAGCCACCAATTTTGTCCGGCAGTGTAAACTGATGCACCTTCATTTACTGCCCTGGGACGCTGCAGGTTTGCACAGACTAACCCTGGTTTGGTTTCCTTTCCTAAAGCTAAGACACGTCGGCTTCTCTAGATCATCTTTACAAACCATCTCATCATGATTCACGCAACAGCATGCCATTTATGACACCCTTTAATTTGATGTGCATTACCATGTAGTGCAACTTTATCCGTTGATAATTCGACCTGAAATGTCATTAAATTGAGCTGAAACTGGGTTTTCCTTTTCAGCAGCTGTTTGTGAAGTAATTATCAAGGGGTTGGCCCATGGTAAAGTTTTGGACTAAGCCACCATGATTTTTTTTAATTTTTAAGATCTTTATTGACCTAGAAAGTAGAATACTTGCCGTTAAGCAGTTCCTTGTAGATTTTGAGCATGAAGTACTATTGATTCTAAGTATGTAATTTTATTAGGCAAACGTGGAAGTAGCAAGTTGATTGCCTCTTAAATATAAAAAAAACATTCTGTTGCACATCGGCCAGTCTGGTGGAAGTAGAAGAGAACGACACCAGCACCCATCAGTTCGCTCAAAGCCTGATCGCTCAGGTAACCCGCGGGCCCAGGGGACCGGTAAGAGGAGCCTTCCAGCTCGGAGGCAGCGGCGTGGTCCCGGCTCCGAGTCAGACAGGGC